GATAAAGCAGGGGTTTTCAAATAAAACAATAGCATAAAATTGTGAAAATAATATATATATATATATATATTATATATACGTGCTGATATCGCGTTTGGTCTCGTTCTGTATCGCGTATCTTGTCAGTGTCTGCGCTTGCTTGGCCATTTGTTGTGGAGAAAATAAGGAAAGTCCAGCTGAATTAATGTAGTATTTTGTTAGAAGGGTATAAAAACGCTTAGTTTACCGCAGCAGTGGTCGCGGCAGCCGTCGTGTGAAGGCCTCTTCTTGTGAAGACTGAAGAGTGTAAAGACCATCGACTCTAACGTGCGACTCCACCGTGTGACTCCACGGGCAGGGACACCGGCAAGTTGATAAGTATCGCTTTTTATTTCTCCTCTTTCCTATTACTTGTTTCGTCAATTAACATAATTAATGTTATTATATTGCTTGTCATAGTTTTGTTTCGCTATAAAATGTATAAATAATTGCAATAATAAACATAAAATAAGTGAACATTTACAAAAACAATTATGATGTTAGTCACTCATAGTTTTAGGGTTTCACTTCAGAAATAAAATCAAATAATGAAAAATTAAATAAAAATAAGCTTAATAAATAATTATTATATTTTGTATTTTTATCATTTAATTTATTTCTACTAAATAAATAAATACATACAAGTTAACATTTACAGAACATGTTGTTATTATATTGCTATCCATAGTTTTATTCACAGCATCATAAAGTTTCAGAGCACCTCCAATATAATATTGACTTGTAAAATAGTTACACTGAGACGAATCTCGTCCTGAGAAGTCAGCATTTGCTCATATTCCCACTTCCTCTCTCTCAGTATTTATCACTGCTCTGCCTACCAAGGTTTATTCGCCGCCCTCGTTCTGAATGAATCATGTCTTTTTATCGATTAATACACACGCTTGTGTAAATATCCCATTAAAGGAAAAGTAAAGCAAACTCAAGACAGACAATAATCTGAGTGAAGACTGTTTAGTACGCTCTCTATTTTTCTGTCTAGGTAGGGCTCTCAGTAGGTTTTGAGCCAACCCTAGTGTGTGCATGCATGTCTGCTCTCTTAAACCATAACAACACACTGACTTCACTTAACAGAGCAACATCACTCCTCAGCATTTAAACGTGTAAGAATCCACCAACTGGAAAGCGAAAACACATTTTGTGCCTATTAACACACACTTTTAGAGTTTAAACTACTAACGTTACAGAAATCACCCAGAAGAGGACAGACTGGGCTAGCCAGTGCTTTAGCGAGCGCACAGACTCATGGAGTGCCCTCACCTCAGCTCCAGTGTCTGTATGACGGTGGATCCGACCCGGTTCCCCAACGGTCCCCCTTCCTCATGGTGCTGCTCTGGTGAGTTACAAGCGAATCATAATTCATTAATAACGAGTAATAATTCAGTCAGTTTCCTGTAAGAGCTAGCTCGAGCTAGCCCAACCGGCTAAGTGCCTCATTGCTCTCAGCAGCTCGCGCTTGGAGACTTTTGTGTTTTTGTCTATGGTTTTTGTACTAATAAAACTGAAGAACATATAAACATATAATATGCCGTGGAATGATAATATTCAGTAATTGTGCTTTATTAAATATTAAACCCACAAACCGAGTAGTTTAGCTTCACACAGCAGTCAAACTTGCTAATTTGAATGTGAAAGGCGGAAAGCTTATTTGTTCTATGAAGACATTTCAGGGAAATGTTTTGTTTTAAAATAATATTAAACGAGTGTCAGTTTCGCTTTCGCCAGTTTGTTTCACCCTTTCAGAAACTTGAGTGAGGTTTTCTTTTTCGTAGTGGCATTTAATCTTATATTGTTGTGATTGGTTCTAATTTGTCATTTGCTTTATATCGAACTGTTCGTTTAAGGTACAAACCTGCCGATTTACAGTAAATGATTAATATTGATCTTCATATGCAGACAATATAAAGCAATCTAGATGGGCAGACCTCAACATAAACCAGAAATAATGTCTGCAAACGTTTTTACAACATAAGTGTAATGCTATTACATTCATGGCTTTACATGTGCATGAAAGCACTAAAATACAAAGGATCTGAAAACGTTTTCTTTCCTTCTTTTTGGATTTGGGCATTTACTGTAGATAGGAAAGTATTAAGAGTGGCAATTTAAAAGTGAGCTATTGTAGATGGTAATTATTGGCTTAGTGTGGGACTGCTTTTACAGGGGCCGGTTTGCTGGAAAAAAATGTTCCCGAGAACATTCGAGGAAGCCATTAAAGGTTGGAGAGACCTTTAAAGTAACCCATTAGGTCTCATGGCAACAAACTTGTGGAAAGAAGTGCAGGATCTAGTGCAGGGATCCTCAAATCTGGCCCACGAGATCCACTTTGCTGCAGAGTTTAGCTCTAACCCTAATCAAACACACCTGAGCATGCTAATCAATGTCTTCAGGATCATTAGAAAATCACAGGTAGGTGAGTTTGATCAGGGTTGGAGCTAAACTCTGCAGCGCATTGGCCCTCCAGGGCAAGATTTGAGGAACCCTGATCTAGTGTTTGTTTGTATTATCATCAGAATCTCCTTGAAATGCATAGATTTAATCTATAAATACAAATAAAGGAAGTAGGTTTATTAGAGATATTATTTATTGGGGTGCATGATATCAGATTTTATTTTTATATTATGGCCAATGTTCTAAATAGTGGCAGACAAACTACCACGCAAAAGTTTGAGGTCGACAATTTTTTTTTTAATGTTTTTGAAAAGAGTTTCTTATGCTGTATTTTTTTTCTTTTTAAATAAACCTTTGTAACATTGTAAATGTCTTTACTGTCACATTTGATCAACTGTGCGCGTCCTACCTGGATAAATGTATTTATTTGTTTGTTTGTTTATAAAATTACATTTATTTATTTATTTATTAATTATTGTTTTATTATATCTTCCAGACACCACATTTTTGAATGGTAGTGTATTTGGCTAAAATTGGGCTATTTTGAATTTTTCGAAATTGATCAATTCTGGTAAATATCAAATATTTCCTGTTTTTATATATTTTATAGTGAATATAAACAACTAGTAAAATAAGTGTTTATTTAAATGTAACCATTTTGTGTAAATCTTATTTGATGTCATAAATATTTCAGGCGACAGGTTATATATATTTATTGCTTTCATACTAACTGACATACATCAAATGAATACAAAAAACATGCTAGTTATACTTTTATACCAGTAACATTACCAACATATCATGCATCCATGATTATTTCATGTGTATTTTTGACCAGACCAGAGTGAAGATGAATTGACATGTTAGATTACACTGAAAACCCATGAACATTTAGGGTGTGACGCCCAGTGGCCCCTCAGCACACCCACGGGACATGAGAAATGCCCCATATCTCGTTTAACACATTTCACACTTATGAAACATGTCAATCATTAGTACTGCTAAAAAAAATTAATTACTTAAATGACTGAACTAGTAAAACAGAACTATGACCCACCTTTAATACCATATAAATGAATACGACTTCAATTTCACTGCACTTTATGGCAGACTCTTTGGGAAAATCGTACACGAGTCACGACATACCTGTTTAGGTGGCTTTGTTCCTAATAACAGCGTGGTTTTGTTAGAACGTCGCTTCTTTTGTGTGAAGCGCATTATATAAAACATGTTACAATAGCACAGCATTGGCGCTTTCTTAATCAGGACACAGGTGGTCAGCAGGTACGAGGAGACGGATGGGGTCTATTGACTTTTTCCACATTTGTTGGGTCGTGCACAGACCAGCATTCACGAGAATCGACCGTTCCTTAGCAACAGCTAATTCAGATGCTTGTTGTGCGCTCAGAGGGAAGGTGATCAAGGCAATTAGAACAAAGCGCTCTCTCCCAGCAGGCCACAGCCAGAGATTACTGGTTTAAAACATGATATAAATGTTATAAAGAAAAATATATGGTGTAAAATATTTATTTATTATTAATACAAAATATTTTTATTATTTTTTAATCCCAAGATTACTTGTATGGGTCTAGTATAGAGCTTGAAAAATATGCTTATACTTTTTTTTATATTTTATTATATGTATGTTATGCATTTTAAGCCCAAGAGAAGCTGCCAATTTTACAAGTGTATGCACGAGGTTAACATGCCACCTTATCTCTGCACATTACAGAGGTCTTTATTATACACTAGGTTTCATGTCTTGAGTATGTGGGTCTGGTTTCATACATCTGTAAAATACAAAATGATGTTTGTAAAATTATTAAAAAAAATAAAAAATGCACAAATATAATACTACATAATACATGTTGTAGCCTATTGTAACATTTTAAGCCCAGCCTGAATAATTTACTTATTTTATTATTTCAAATGTAGGCTTAGCATACAGTTTTAAAATGCTTTGAAATTAAAATAAAAAATATATATATATATTTATATATTGTCTTTTGTTTTATTATCCGTTATATTTTCCTTATGTATATTATAAATTACTTACATTTTATCTATCCATCTATCTATCTATCTATCTATCTATCTATCTATCTATCTATCTATCTATCTATATATCTATCTAATTAAAAAAAAGAAGTATTAAAATGATCTTGTTTTATACATTTGTAAAATGCCAAATCATATCATGGATGTTACTCATATGCTGTATATTTTGATATTTTGTATTTTGTAGGTCAAACAAAAGCCCGTGGGTTTGCCTGACATGTTTGAACGTGCATTGTGGAAGGCGAGTGGCGAGTGTGATATTTTTTTAGTCTATGTGGTTTTGTTTCTTTATATATGACTTACAGTAAATATTACATGTAAATTCATAGTTCCTTGATTGTTTAGAATTATGTTTAAGCTGTATTAAAATATTAAAATGTACAAAATATAAAAATTGTTTTAGTAGATAAAAGTGTTCATCTATAATTATTAAAATATTAAATTTCACACATTAAAATGACCTTGCATCTGTTTCTTTCTGTTTCTGACCTTTACATACCTGTTTCCTGTGGCAGGTATGTAAACGGCCATGCAAAAAAGCATTTCGAGGAGATTCAGGCACCAGGAGGCGGTCAAAGGAAGCCAGAGCGAGAAAAGTCCAGTGAGAAGAGTCAGCAGCACTCTGTGTGTATGGACTGTAACAGTTATAGCACATTCTGGTTAGTTTCTTCCCTATTTTTCTTTCCAGAAATATTTTTAAATGGACAGTAGTAAGATGAGTGTACTGTAAGGACAGTACATACAGTATTTTTCAGTGAACAGTGTTATGTTTTTTTTTTTACCTTCATGCCATTTTCTTTCCTGTAGTTACAGATGTGATGAATTTGTGGTGAACGACACAAAACTAGGGCATGTGCAGAGGGTCAGAGAACATCTGCAGAGTTTGGAAAAGTACGTCTGGTATTTGTCGATGTGTATCTATCCATTTATCAATCATCATCACTTAAATACATGGATTATATTATTGTTTTTGAACTGATTTATTCTCTTTTTTTCAGCTCTGTGTCTAATACTGACAGACAGAGGAAGAGAAAACTGTCAGACAGTTCCTCTCCTGACAGCAAGCTGAAGAAAGACAGCGTGAGTTTAATTGGATTTTAGATAAGCGTGTAAAAGACCCTGGTGTGCTAAGATATGGTTCAGAAAAACTTGATGTGTCCATCCACATATCTCACCACATATTTAATTGTTAATAATTACTGGAAGGTAAAAACTTCCCCGTGCAGTGCAGATGACTCAGGTTTCATAATTCTTAAAATTGCTGTCACGTTGTCATTAAGCCCAAGAGAAACTGCAGGTTTTACTTGTTTATTAATTTGTAAATAATTATTTTATATAAATGTGTATATATATATATATATATATATATAAATGATAATATAGTTTACATGTTGAGACAATACAAATAT